TTCCTCTTATTTTTCCTTTTGCTCTTGTTTGATGAAAAAGTCCAAGTTGTTGCGCAAAAGTTTTTATGCAAGTTTTGCTATTTTGGCAAATGGATATCCTTCTGCCGCTCCAACTTCTCTTCTCCCTTCGATTATTCTGTGGCGCGCTATCTATGTTCCTTATATGAAAGTTGGTCAGACATATACCATACCACGCCATACCATACCATATATATATTTATATATGTATTGAAACTCAGCTTGCTATTGGCAAGAAGTTTAATCAAAGTTTTCCCCTTGAATTGGGGAGGCAAAAATAAATGAAATAAGGAATTAATGCACAGCAAAAATTCAGATGTGCTGAATAATTGTATCTTGCAAAATGTATAGTTTTTTAGGCAATCAAATATATAATTCAATTGCCAAGAAATTCACATGAAATGCTATTCCCTTTTAAAGTTTAGTTGTGGCATTTTAGAGGTATAAATTCCTCCTGTTTTTGTGTGTATGAAATTCCCAACTGAACACACCTTCAAGCTATGTTGGCGATACAAAAACCACTGCATATTTCAGGGCGCAGGCTGCATATGCAAATGAAACATTCCACACATTCCCCCAAAGGCAAAAGGCCATTAAATGTCAAACCCGCAGACACAAAAAACAAACATCGGCGAACATTTTTCCAACCCGTTTTCGTTGACCAAATTAAAAAGCCATTTGGGCCTAGCGAAGCCAACAGACTTTTGTGCCAAGTTACCTTTTTGGCTGTCGGCTATTATAATATATTATATTTGAGAAAAACACAACCGGTTGACGGGTTTTATGAGTGCCAATCAAAGTTCATCGATTATGCGACAGCAGTCCGTCTGCTTTTCAGTTTTAGTTTCGATTTCGGCTTCAGTTTTCGATTTCAATTCCGATCCGGAATGTGGAGGCATATCTTTAACGATTCTCAACGGCACTAAATCTTCAAGGACAGGGAGCTGAAGTGAGTTAATCATGAATGATTTAACGAGTCGTAGACCATTTAATTGCCATTCAGCTCGGACATGACAGCAATCGGTGATTAAAGCCAAACGAGACAAAAAAGCGACACCAAATTGTGTTCGCTTTTAACGACTTGACAAAGTCATTTAAGGAATTTCTTTTGACAATTTTGAGCTGAACTCAGTTGAGTCGAGTTTCCTCTTCAATGTCGATGGGAAATGGATCGGGCACCTGTAACTTTTTCGGGGGCTGCAGCACGCGCCATTTTGTTGGAAATTGAAAACGTGTCCAACATCGAGACATCAATTTTTAAACAGAAGTAATCACTTTGTAAACGCCGAGCGGAGAGGAAAAAATAAATATTCGAGCATATCCTTTGGGGGTTGACTTGGGCTAAGCCAGAAAAGCAGCGACCAGGGACCACAGTCCTGCCGGTCCTGCAGGTCCTTTAGTCCTTCGGTCCTTCTGGTTGGTTTTTTCTCGCATTTACCCTCGACAAGTGCGCCTCAAATTTCTGGGGTTCGCTTCGCTTGATTTCCAAATTTCTGCACGTAACAACGTAAAGTTGCAGAAATTTTTATACAATTTGTTGCATGCATAATTCACGAGGACAACAAACTTGGGAGGGACCTCTGGATTTATGTGGGTTGTGTCTGGCCAAAGAACTTTCGGTGGCTGTCGAGGAATTATGATGAGCCAGAGCATCAAAGAAAGTGACTTAAACGGTTGGCTATTCAATTTGAAGAAAGTAATGGCCCAAGCAATTTCAGTGCACAGAGAAGAGGAGATATCATTCTTTTCTTAAATGTGCTGTATAGTAATAAATATTAATTAATTAATCATTCCTGTTGAAAAGGGTTTTGCTCAGACAACCAATCTAGCTAATATTTTTTATTAACCATAAGGTTTAGGCTTTAAATCAAAGCTCTTTTGGCTAATTGATGGCAGAGCAAATAAAATCGAAAATAAAGAAATTTGAGTCGCAGGCGAAACAAAAGCTGAGACCCCATCAAACAACATTAAGACCCCGTTAATCTATCGAAACGAGCGCCACCATTTGTCTGCTAGACACACACACGTTTTAATTGCCGTCCGCACTAAAAACTGAAAATCCAAATAAGCTAAAAATTTATTAAATTCTCATTTATCAAACGCCATAAATCACGCGTCTCTGCGTTGTATTTTATTTCAAATGATCTATCAACAGTTGCCATTTCGATGGCTGTTCCCTCACTTCAGACGCTTTTATGACTAGCTAATTTGGTTTGTTTTCGACTTTGATTTTGATTTTGATTTGTCAGTTTATTGTGGCCGGCTGGCTGTCAATGATTCGCTCTCTCGCCGTTCGCTGCTGGCTCAATGAACTATAAAAAACTAATGTTTCATCGGCGGCAGAGTTGCGCTAACTGTGCTCCTGACAACTGAATGAAAGCCCCAATGATGTCAATCTATCAAATATACACCCTCTACACCTTCCCCCTTTTTTCTGACCGCACACACCTCTAGGCCCGTCAACTTTTACTTTCTGCCGTGTGACCTTTGCTAAACTGTCAAAATTTGTTGTCAAAACGTGTGAGTGTTGCTGCGGGGATGTTGCTGTTGCCGCCGTGCTGCGATATTGCTGCTGCTGTTGCTGTTGCTGCTTTTACTGTTGCTGGTGTATTTGCATTTGACAGCTGCTGTCGGACGTTCGCTGCCCTCACATATATTTTTCGCACTTTTGCAGCAGACGCAAAACGCGGCTTTGAACTACTAAATCATTTTTGACAGTTGGCAGCGAAGCCGGGGAAAGCCCCCAGTTGCCATCTCTTTCGCCCATGACCTTGAGAACCGTTACACACACACACACACACACTAGCAGCAGCAGCAGCAGCAACAGCAAACACACACAGACAGACATTTTTATTCCACTGGCGTAGCCTTTGTTTATGCAATAAATTAAAAGCAATAATTTTTCATCTTGAGCCACCAGCAGCAGCAGCAGGAGCAACAGTTGAAAGTTCGCCCGCTGCGGCGCAACAACATTAATTTTACACACACACAGAGCAAGAGGGCTACAACTGGATAGAAAGAGATAGAGAGGGCTGTGGGCGAGGTGAAAGAGACGGAGCATTTGATAAAGCACCGCCATGGCAATGGCATTGTTTTTAACTCGCTGCGACTGCGCTAAAAGCGGGGAAAAAAGTGCAAAGAAAAAGTGCAGAAACAATAATTCAACTTGTGCTCCACATACACAGATACGTACAAGGCTCGAAAAATACGGACTTGCAGGTTCAACGGACGCTTTGCGCCTGCGCAGGGCCAAAAACAAATTGCAGCTGTCTCCCTCCCTCCCGCTGCCCCTCTCCCTCGCACCCACACACACACAGAATCGCTGGGTGTGTGTGCCATTAATTCTAGCGCTCGCCGGCTTGTTTGACAGTTCTGACAGACGATTATTTAAAGTTGTGCTTAAACGCTCGCTGTCTCTGTCTCCCTCTCTCCCTTTCTCGCTCTCTCTGTCCCGCTCTGACCTGTTCTTGGCCATGGCCCACGGTCGTCTGGCCCACGCCTACGTGGCACGCCCCCTACCCTCCGCCCACCGGCGACCGAGAAAATAATACAAATTACACTTTTGGCATATTGCTCGGCTGCTCTCCTTTTGGCCAGCCTAAAATAAAGGCTCTTTTTGTGGATTAGTGGGTCTCTCGAACTTGAAGTCGCACAGCGAAAAAGGTGGCAACAGAATTGGTAACCAAAAAGGAGTTTTGGCTAGGTCAACATGGAGTTTAGAGGAATATTCATAAATATACACAATAATAGTTCAGGGTACGAATAATAAATCCCCCACTATTATTAAATCTGTGTTCACTAAACCTGTTTCAATTGCTGTTAGAGAATGCTGAATTATTTTTTACAACAATATAATATTATCTCCTATTCAATGAAATTGTATGGTACTCAATATCTAACCCACTTCGTTACCCCTGTTTCTTTGAGTGCAGGGAAAACAATCGAACATGAGTTACTTTTGACCAGCCCTACACTTGCCTTTTAACGATTTAAATGCTCTGGCACGCCATTCCTCAATTTAACGCATCATAAAGAGGGGAAAACTGCATCCTGAGCTGGGGATTTTACGACCCAGAGGAGGCTGCTTAGCCGGCAACATAACAAAAAAAAAAAAAAAAGCAAGGAAAAAGGAATGCAGAGTAGAGAACGCAGAATACAGAATACAGAAAGAAAAGCCCCACATGGAGTGCCGCTCGCCGATCATAAATCAAATTTCAATTCACGTGCCGGGCGCTCGACCATTCGTTTTTGCCTCATGTTCATTAATGAAAGCGAAATGCGCTTATATAATGCCGTAATGCCGGGACTATCGGCCCTCGGACATCATCAAAACTGCCACTGATTTTCGCAGCGCGCAAAAATTGGCACAAGTTCATCATCATCATCTGTCGGTTCGGTTTTCCTACTGCCCTTTATTATTTTTTTTTCTGTATTTTTTAAGGGGGTGTGGCGAGATGCACGTTGAAAGCTTCGGAGACCGCCGATGTTCAATTTATGAGCCGCAGACAGTATCCGTCGTCCCTGCCCTCGCCCTTTAATCGATTGTAGTTTTTAATTAAAATTTAACTTTATAATGATTTTTTATCAGCTGTCCCGGGCCAGTCTGTTTAAGTCTAAATTAAAAAGAAATTTCTCATTTTGAGAATCGGTTCGGATCGGATCCGCCGATCGCCGCAAAACAGGAAGCCGCAGCCGTGAGCAAAGTGGGCGTGGATCGGGCGTACAGGGACGTGATCGCGAACAGGATTAGTGGTAGTGACAGACATCAAAGGGGAGCCCAACCGATCCAAGCCAAGTCAAACCGAAACCCATCCAAACCGATGATGCCCTTGGCCATCCATCGGCCAGCTTTGATTGATGTGCGAACCGAAAGGCAGCACGTGTTTCGGCCAGAATCCACTTGGTCTTAAGCCTACGGAATATCGATCTACTCTACACTCTATATAGATGTGTTAAATGACTTAATGCGGAATGTGACTTACCATCATATGTTAGTTCTGAAGGATTGAGTGATGATAAGAACTTACCATCTGCAACGAGAAGAGAACGGGGATCGAATTAATTTCAATTACAGCTGTCCGCATGCATTACACTAATTAGCAATAAATTGTAATTTGTGATTGACCACCAAGCTCTGGTGTTTTGTTGCATATTTTTTATGTTATATGTGCAAATGCACTGGACTTAAAACTATGTACTTCATTTATAATTTCAAATAGGTTCGGAATGCCTTTTAAGTTTATGATCTAACCAAGAACCATTACATCATTTCGTTTGCCGTATAATGTAAACCAAATCAGTAAACACCAAAAAGGTATAAAATTTGTATTTTAGCCATTAAAAATGCAGATTTTTCCATGTTCATGTTTTCCCGAACCCCCCGCCCCTTTTTCCATAAATGAAGCATTAAAACGCTTAATTACACGGATTTTATTGTTGGCTGCCATTGAGCGATATAGTTTTTGTTCGCTTTTTGTTTGGCCATTGTTTGCTACCTTTATGCAATATTTGGCTTTCCTGTCTCGTTATATTCTACACGCTTACACATTTTTTTGCTTTGGTGCTTGATTAATTTTATTATTGTGCAGCATTTAATTTAATACGCATTGCGGCGCATAATGTACAATAATTATTTTAAATTCACTTTGACAAGCACACACACACACACACACACATACACGTAGCAATTTCACCCACGCTAACCGCTTTCATTTCCCTGTTAATGTTAATTTAATATTTTTACATTGTGCTCGTGTTTTAATTTTGCCTGCGGTTTGCCATGTTTGTTCCCGCTGAAATTGTTGAACTTTTTCGCTTATTTTTTCGCTTTTGTTATCATAAAACAAAAATGCAAATTAACGCAGAATCCTCTTCTGCTGCTTCATCTCTTTTTGTATTGTTAATTATTTATGGCTGTCATGGCGAATTTTTTCTCTCTTAATTTTTGCGTGTTTTATCTTTTTTGTCGCATTTTATTTGCACGCATTTTATTTTTTTTTTTTCTGCCAGCAATAATATAGGCTTATCTTATGCCTCTATTGTAAGAAATGGAATTGGTCATGCCCAGCGCCGTCTACATGATCTCCAAGCGCAGCCGCAAGTACAAAATTCGAAGAATACTCAACAACAACAATATGTGCTTGACGTTCAGTCTATATTGGAGCAACAGCAACAGCAATTTATGAAATGGCAACAACAACTTCAGCAACAGCAGCAGCAGCAATTCTTTTTGTGGTTACAACAACAGCAGCAGGAACAACAAAAGCAAAACAAACAGAACAGCCTTCGACTTGAAAGACTTGAAAATATGGTTTTCGAAATGGCCAATTCTATTAAGCAGTGGACTGGGGGCAAATCAGTGCTTCACAACAACGTTTCAGCCTCAAAATGAATACACTCAAAATCCTTATCTGGAATGTCAATGGCATTTCAGGTAAAGCCAGAGAAGTGGAATTCTTTGCGCACAACAACAACATTGATATTATACTTTTAAGTGAAATTAGGCTCAATCGAGGTGAAGTTGTCAAAATTTTCGGATATTCCTTCTATCCAGCATATAAACCTTCACGACATAATCAAGGAATGGGTGGGGCGGCGGTATTGGTAAGAAGCTCTCTCAGTCATTTCCCACAACGTATTATAGAAACGAAAAGCATTCAATTGTCTTCCATTAAAGTTGCGACCGGCTTAGGACTCGTGGATGTAAGCGCAATATACTGTCCTCCAGGCCAAAGAATTGTAGAAAGACATTTCACTGATATACTCTCTTCTTGTGGTCAGAGGTACATAGTTGGTGGTGACTGGAATGCTAGACATTGGATGTGGGGTGACACCTACAATTCACCCAGAGGCCGTGAGCTGGTTGAATCGATTTCAGCCAGAGGGTCCAAAATACTTGCCACTGGTTCACCAACGAGATACCCATATGTTCCTAGCCACACTGCTACTTGCATCGATTTTGCTTTATACCACGGAATTATGGATTCTCAAATCAATATCTGCCAAAACTGGGACTTGGAGTCTGATCACATTGCCCTTATTGTTAATCTACTAACAAATGGTTCCAATATCACCCGAAGCCCTCGGTTAATAACAAGTCGGACTGATCTCACTTCTTTCAAACAAATTCTTGATAACTCCTTTCAACTAAATTCTGCTCTGGACTCACGACAAGACATTGAGAATGCAGTTGACACTCTAACTAATAATATTTATATGGCTGCTTCTGCTTCGACGCCTTTGGAACCGGATTATCGTCCTATCAATTATGGTGTTGTTCTCACAAGGGAAGCCAAGGCGCTAATTGTAACAAAAAGGCGCCTTCGAAGAAGAGCAATTCGTTCTCAAGATCCTGAAGACCGTATTTTGTGGTACAGAGCTGCAATGCAACTTCGAACCCTTTTAAGTAGACTTCGAAGCGATTTTTTTGAGCATAAATTGTCTTCCATGGACTACACGGTGGATGCAAATTATTCACTGTGGAAATGTACAAAATCGCTTAAGCGCCAGCCCCTTAGACAGGTTCCTGTTCGGTGTCCCAGTGGTGAGCTCGCAAAAAATGAAGTGGAGCAGGCCAATGCTTTCGGTCTACATCTAGAAGAACGCTTCACTCCGTATAGCTTTGCATCGACAGTTCAGGTTAGCGAGACCCATCAAACTCTGGAGACGCCTCTGCAGATGTCGTTGCCAATAAAGCCTATAAGGGTTGAAGAAATATCTGAAGTTATCCAGTCCTTACCGAAAAATAAGGCTCCAGGAATTGATAGAATTTGCAACGTAACGTTGAAGGCCTTGCCCATAAAAGCGATTCTATTTATAGCTTTAATATTTAATGCTATTATTAGGACTCAAGTGTTCCCAAAGCAATGGAAATTAGCAGCAATTCAGATGATCCACAAGCCAGGTAAGCCAGAGGCTGATCCTGAGTCTTACCGTCCGATAAGCCTCTTATCGTCCCTGTCCAAGTTGTGGGAGAGACTCATTGCCAATCGAATAGCAGTTATCATGAATCGAGACAATATCTTGCCAGACCACCAATTTGGTTTTCGAAGAGGACACGGCACTGTGGAACAAGTGCATAGATTGGTGAAACATATTTTGCAGGCCTTTGATGACAAAGAGTATTCCAACGCAGTTTTCATTGATATGCAGCAAGCCTTCGATAAGGTGTGGCATGTTGGACTTTTGCTTAAAATCAAAAACCTCCTACCTGCCCCCTACTATGGTCTTCTGAGATCCTACCTAGAAGAACGGGAGTTCAAGGTCAGAGTTAGGGACAGATACTCTGATAACTATAGAATGAGAGCAGGAGTACCTCAGGGCAGTGTGCTTGGGCCGCTGCTTTACTCTTTATATACAGTGGATATACCAAGCCCAAACAGACATCACATGATAGATCCTTCCAAAGCTTTGATTGCTACATATGCAGATGACATTGCAGTCATCTACAATTCCAGATGTCGGAGGGAAGCAGCAAATGGAATACAAGAATACCTTAAGGATCTTTCTGCTTGGTGTAAACGTTGGAATATGAGAATCAATCCGCAAAAAACTACGAACCCCTGCTTTACACTGAAGAGACTTGTATCTAACACCCCTGAAATCCAGCTAGAGGGAGTCAGTTTGGAACAGCCGTCGCAAGCAAAATATCTTGGTATCACACTGGATAAGCGCCTTACGTTCGGACCACATCTGAAAGCAACAGTCAAAAAATGTAACCAAAGGATTCAGCAACTGCGTTGGCTTACACACAGAAGGAGCACTTTGCCGCTGAGATGCAAGAGGGCAGTATATGCATTCTGTATCCTGCCAATCTGGCTTTATGGTATTCAAATTTGGGGGATCGCAGCCAAATCGAACTACAAAAGGTTACAAGTGTTGCAGAATCGGTTTCTACGTACCATTACTGACTGTCCCTGGTATGTGCGTGGCACGACACTTCACAGAGACCTAAATCTACACACTGTGGAAGAACAGATTGGGAGACACACAAGCCGATACCGAGATAGATTAGAAAGACACCGCAGCTTACTGGCTAGGAATCTACTCCCAGCGAGACCTTTGAGGCGTCTCAAAAGGCAAGGCTTTGCCAAGACGATAAGGAATCAATAAGAAAATACTATATATAATCCTCTTCTTAATGCTGAGGTTTGGTTTACTTTTCTCATTGGTGACACCTGTGTTGTTAAGTACTTTAATTTGCTGTACAGATTCTGCACTAAATAAATAAATAAAGAAAAAAAAAAAAAAAAAAAAAAAAATTTTATTTCAATAAATTATTTAATTTTTTCCAGTTTTTTTCAAGTGATTTCATTCTGACATTTTATGGATATTTTAAGGCCATAAGCATTTGCAGTCAGTTCGCAATTTTTTCGTTAGCCAAAACAAGTTAATCCTTGAAAGCCCGATATCGCCAACGACTTCTTCCCTATTTCCGTTTGTGGTCGCGAAGGCTTGTAAGTTTAATTTTAATTTTATTTTTATGGCCCAGCTGGAGCTTTTGTTTTATTGTTGTAAATAAATCAACGATAATTAACCTTCTGCAGCGCGTAGAAATAATTTTACTGTCAATGTTGTCACCACTGACAGTCGAACATCTTAAATCATTTTGTTGTTGTGGCCCGGGTTCGTTCATTGTTGTTGCTTTGTTGTTGTTGTTGGTGTTGTTGTGCTGATCACAAAACGAAATTAAAAAGCGCAACAACGACGGACACTAAACACGGCTAAATGATCAACGCGCCCCGAAAATGCCAAATGCGCCAAATGAAATGCCAATTCGCACTCAATTGGAGGTAGCATTGGCGGACTGGCGACAAAACACCTTTTCGAAAAAGTCTTCTTCTGCCTCTGTCTTTGTCTTTCCCGTCTAGCCATCTCTTTCTAAATGGGTGCAGTGAAAAAAAATTTACAATTTTTGTAAAAGGAAAAAGAAGAAATCTAAGATAGGATTCATTAACCCTTAATTATTATTTAAGTAGTAGAATCTTTTTCAATCTTAAAGTTATTTAATCTTAAAATGTATCCCAAAAAT